CTTCATTTCAAAATCAATATGTACTGTCATTGTCATTTTTCTTTTCTACACTGCACTATTACATTATCCAAAAAGGAAAGAGCTAACCATGATAAAAATCAGCATCACTGTCTGCAGTTAAGTGTTTGGTTGGCTCATACTTTAGGTGACTGTCATGATGATGTAATCTTTTACTTTTAAAATTCCTTTCTACATTTCTGCCTCTAGTTAAAGTTGAGGTATATTTTAACTTTTCATTCAGAGTTTAAGTCTTCTTATGGCTCATATAAAACGAAAGGATGGTATTAGCACAAACACATACCCCAATGTAACAGAATAGATAGTAGAAAAATTAACTTAGATCTGTGAATCTCCAATTAACCTATTCTCAACAAAGAAGCCAAAACCACACTGGAGAAAGACACCTCTTATGTAATCAGTGCTGGGAAACTGGATATCTTACAGAAGGCTAATGTCATCCCTTCCTAACTCCTGAAAGAAATCAAACCAAGATTGTTTAAAGACAAGACGTAACACTTGAAAATTACTGGAGGAAAACAGAGAGGAAATGCTAATAGACGCTGATGGACCAGTGACTTTATATGTATGTGGCTCCCAAGAGACAGCAAGTGAGAGCCAGAGTTGACAAATGGTATTAACCCAAGGGGAAAACAGTCAGTAGCGAAGAGACAGCCCTTAGGATGGGGAACACATTTTCCAACTAGTCAGCTGTTAAATTAAATAAAAATAAAACAGGGATGAAGTCATTGAAACAGAGGAAAAAAAAAACTCTGAAAAATTTTATTCAAAATAATCACATGCCTAAATGTAGAAAGGAAGTCATATCCCTTTTGATGTTTAAAAGAAAAAAAAGAAAGGAAAAGAAAAGTGTCTTATTACTGAGTGGACAGCCCAATGTCTTAAGTAGTCACCTGTTTGACTATATCTAAACTCTCTACAACAGTGTATTTATATGACCCCACATTGTCAGGGGCTGGGATGGGTTTTTGTAGAGACAAAGAGCAAAAGTTGCAGTGTATGAGTAGAAAGCTAAAGCTAGAATACCTCCATACTTCCGTGGTGAACTGTCTTTGCACCTACTTCCGATGTGCTTCTTATTCAACACAGTGCTTGATTCGGGGCCTGAAGAACCAAAACAACAAATGCAAAGGGCTACATACTGCATGGTCCCAACTGTGACACAAGAAGAGAGTGGAGGCAGGGAAAAAATCAGTAGTCACCAGTTGTGGTGAGAAAAACAGGGATGAGAAGGGTAGAGAACAAGAATTTCACTGCTGTAAGAAGTATTCTGTTTGGAAGAGAGGGGATTTATAAATTAGTCCAAGCTGATCAAATGCACAAAACCAAAAGGGAACCACACAGTGGCCTTGGGGATCACAGGGTGTCAGTGAAGGCTCATCAGTTGGAAATGCAGGAGGGTATGAGTCTGTTTCTCAATTTAGCTGTGAACTTAGAAGTACCCTTAAGAAGTTGTCTATTGTCAGAAAAGTAATAGAGAGTTCTGTATTGACTCCTGTTCTCACCATCTGGATTTCCTGTGCCCGTTCCCTACTCTACCTTTTCTCTTAGTGTTTAATAACTACCATGGTTCAGAAGTACACCTGTTGTACTAATGTGACTGACTCCAGAGAGGAAAATGGAAAGCCAAAAAGTTTCAAAATTTAGTATGTTTTTTTTTACCTTATATATTATTATAATATGAATTAAAACTAATTTCAATGTTTTTGAGTCTTAAATGTTACAATATCTGAAAAATATTGAATAGTCATTATATTCAATTGCAAAATATTTAAATAATGAAACTACCTATATCCATAATTCCTCTTACCATAAATGGCATCTTTAAACAATGCCTTTTTATAAGAATTCAGAACTGTTTTTCTGTTTTCTCTGCCTGTGTCTTGTGTGACACACTCAAATCAGTAATAGAGTATATGCTAGTGAAATTACACAGAGCCCTTGACATACTAATTTATAAAACTGTCTACATATATTGGAAAGTCCATCTTGGGAATGTTTCTGGTTATGCTCTGCAGTGCACAGGTATCTTGAAAAAGGATGCTTTTGTCAGTTGAGTACTCAGTGATTTTACTGTACACTTGAAACTGTCTTTGACAGTGCTTGACCTGCTCTCCTCACCACAGCAGCAGAGACTGGCAGCTAAGCAGCTATTCTCTGCCTGTTCTGGTCCTGCTCTGAGGAGAGAAACACTCTCAAAATAGAGTGGTCTTGGTCCAAAGGATCACAGACTACCTGAGAGAGATGCCAGGTTAGACATCACCCCCTGGGACAGCCTTCTCACCTGTGCTACCTAAGAAAACAGCTTCATATGGTACAGTGAGACCATCTTTATGATACTGGGTAAAAAGTTAGGTACGGACGTTAAACTCTCCTCTCTTGTTTCTCCCTTCGCTATTGAAATTTTATGTGATAATTTTCAAGAGTCATAAGTAGGTGACAAGATTTTATTTTTAGTTCATATTAAAAGTTGAATTCCTGTGTTTCATTGTGGGTGACTTAATTATATTTCTTAAATGAAGGAAAGCCTGATGTGTTACAAAAAGTAATTATTTGTCATGGCTTGGTTAACTTCTTTAAATTGTTGAGGAAAAAAAAGCCTAACATCTCTATATTTCTAGAAATTTTGAATATAAATCTACATGTTGATTTTTACCATCTAGTTACTATCTTTTATGTGTGAATTAATTAATGTCTTATGGGGCTCCATAAGCTTTATATGCCTGTATTCTTGGTAGTAACATTTCATTTACACTATTAATATTGAGATGATTTTATAGGAAAATGCAATGTGCTTTAGTTTTATTATTGGTTGATCAGTTTAATTTATGAAAACAAAATTCTGATGCTTTCTTATTTTGTACCTTTTCTCTTACTAATAAATGAGGCATCAGCAAAACAAAGCTAACTGATACTGTAAAGTTGAGGTTGTTCTGGGCATCGGCTCCTTCCAGCGGGTGTGGTACATACAGCATTTGCCTTTGCATTGAAGTTTACTCGGATGGCAGAAGCTGGCGAGGAGCTGAGCAGTGTTAAGGTGCACTCCGTCTACAAAATGTTGTACTCTAAGAGGGTGTGCATACCCAGGTGACCAGAGCCTCAGTTATTTTGAAAAACCACTGAAGAATCTTGTAGCTGTTTTCAAGCAAAACATAAACTGAAGTGCACCTGACAAAATTTTGAACAGAAGTGAGGATTAGTGTTCTTAGGTTTCATTGGGGTGCTGAATAATAACTCCACAAACTACTGAGAAATGATGGTGGATTGTGCTTGAATATTTAATTTACAACTGTTATTTTACTCATCTGTTGACTTGAATTACTTTTAAAGCAAGTGAGAAATTCAAGGAAATTAAAAGAATTTTCTGATAAAATGAGAATGTCTAATTACTTTAATGTTTTATTAATTCAGTGATTATTTGAAGGCTTACCCCATGTAGCACCCTGTGTTTACTGTATGTAAATTTGTAAGCACATTATCTTAAAATCTTGGATTTAATTAGTATTTAACTGTTCATGGGTTAGATTTAGAATGTGGGGAATTACTGACAACAGAGGCAGCCTTTCCATACTCAATTCAGTGACCTGGGAGCCACCAGCTGCCTCGCACAAATTAATATTAAAAGTACATTCCTTGTATCAGTGTTGATTAGGATTTAGTGTGTGCCTACCTACAGTTGCTACCTCTTTACTAGGGAGTGTCATATTTGTATCAGTGGCATAAATAAATAAATAAATAAATAAATAAATACCATTTAAAAATAACCTGGGGGGAGGGGATAATCTGTGAGTCAATACAGCCTTTAAAACACCTAAAGTAAACCACCTGCCCATCTTGCTGTGCTTCTGCCTTCTTGCCAGGAAGTATGCCTTACCGTCCTCAAAATCTCAACACCATAAATGAATGAATGAATGATCGTCTGTTTGTTTTTTTCCAAAGACAATACACTATATCTGCTTTTTATCTTACCATAGAAATATATATATATATATATATATATAAAGACGTATATGCTCATATCTTAGATTAAATGAATAATATATTTCTACCAAAATTATTTAGTCAGGCTCTTGCATGTTACTTTTCTGTAAATAGAAAACTGCTGGAAATAAATTTTGAAAAATTGTTTGTAATGATTGTTTTCATATTTAGCCGTATGTTTTAATGATAAAAATGTGGAGGTGGCCTGAAGTGAGTGTCTATTTCCATGGACAAAACGAAATGTAGAATATTTTAATGCTTTAAAAAGGAACTATAGTTCTGCATAGACTATATTATCCTCCCGCACACACATACACTTTTATTGAAGGATATATTTATATTCTAGCTCAAATGAGGGCTGAAGGGTTTAGTCTGTTTGTAGTGTTCCATGAAGAGAGCCCCGGCAGTTTATGGCAAATACCAAGCTGCTTTCCTTGTTTCACACAACCAGGGGTTGTGTTTGGATTTTTTGTCCCTTCACAGTTAATTTGCTAAAATACAGACTTCTGGTTCATTACTTATTAATAGAAAATTATATGCATATGAGATATTTTATTAGCATGTGTCTGGTTTTTATTAGCAGCAAAACAAGGATTAGTCTTTTTACATAAGCATAAGTACGTTGCTGCATCTTGAGTTGAAATAAGAAGCTAAGGAACAGCACAACATGATGTAATCTGTGCTGTGTCTGAATGTGCTTCTTTTAGGAGATATCCGCCTGACCCCAGAGGACTTCGCTAGAGCTCAGAAGTACTGCAAATATGCTGGCAGTGCCCTGCAGTATGAAGATGTGAGCACCGCTGTACAGAACCTACAGAAGGCTCTCAGGCTGCTGACCACAGGCAGGGAGTGAAGCCTCTTCATGGATCCGTGTGTTTTCCGCCTAGAGAACTAACAAAGTCCATTACACTCTCCTCAGCCTTTCAGGAGCATGGGTTTACAGAAGACCTCAGTTCTCCTCAGTAAGACAATGACTCCTGTGTGTTTCAGAAGCATTTATCAGCTGCCTCAGCCACTTGTCATTGAGTGTGTAGAGCTATCAAACCCTGCTATGAAATGTCCCTGTAGAAAATCATGTTGGGTATAATATGCTTTCTTAATTTATACACACTAAAGGAAGTTTTTGAAAAATCTGTAATATTTGGACAAACAAACCATATTATGTTGTTTAATATTCTAAATTAAACTTTTAATAAAGATTACCAGAATATTCTGGGTTAGAGATCCTGGCTTTTTTTCCCCTCCTTAGGATTTGCAAGGCAAATGTGAACATCCAAAAGTAGTAAATGATAAGAGAGATTAAATGCAGTTTATATTCATGTTTAGATAGAATAATAAAAATCAAAGGTCGTGGAAGGAGAAACCAAGTGGAGAGGTAGAATCACTGTACTCTGGAAAATCATACTGGCTTCCCGAGATCCTCCTGCCCACTGGCACGTACAACAGATTGCTATCCTTCAGTGGCAGTTGACTTATGTATTAGAAAGTGAAGAAAAGAATTTTGTCCAAATGTTTGCATACTCGGTGCTCTAAAGATTATCTTCTGCACTTGTGGAATCATAGAGTGTAAATGGAATGATAAAGAAGGCCATAGGATTTTGGATTCCTGTTCAAATTGATATGTTTTATAGAGCTTATGCACTGCCTGCATGAAGATGAATTTGACAGATTGACCTGAAATTTTTCTGGACTTTGTCACTTACGCTACTTGGACTGGAATTCTTTAGGGCACATTATCTCTTATTCATTATAGGATGTCAGGCCATGGCCTATAGGCTCTGTTAACATAGAAGGCATCAGGACATAGGTCCTGTTAACATAGAGGGCATCTGGACATGGCCCATAGACTTTGTTAACATAGGGACAGCAGGCCATGACTTATACTATGTATTTAACACAGGAAACAGCAGGCCATGGCCTATGGACTCCAACTGTCATATATAGAGTTTTATTTTAACAACACAATACCTATTCATTTATATTTTGTCTGGATGGTTTTCAGAGTTAAAAAGTTACATGGTTTATACATCTGAATGTTTATTTACTATCTAGTCCATTTTAAAAAATTGGCTGAAAATCTAACTTACTAGAGAGAAAAGTCACTAACTCCTTATAATTTGTGTCCACTTTTCTGCATGTCAGTATATTACTGTGCACAGTTTGATAGAACAGATATGCACAGTGACTGAAAGAATCCATGGCATACATCTCCTAGAAAGTGCTCTCAAGAAATAAACATTACTCTGGCTCAGCGTTTGCATCTGGAAATCCAGTACTCTGATATGGTTCTATAGCATATCAGAATTAAAACATGACTTAGGTTATTGATCTTCCCAAGAGGTGTAAATAATACAGTGTAGCAACTTTGATAGCACACCTAGACATGTTTGCACATTGGAGCTAAAACTGTCACTTCCTGTTTCACTCCTAGTTAGCAGAGGTAAGGAGACAGCCATGAAGTTCATTGATACAAATTAGAGCCCCTCTGTAAGAAGGCACACCACTGGAGTTTGCTTATAGAAGTACATGCCATGCCATGCCATGTGTAAGGTGTGTAGCCCACAGTAGCACTCTATACTTGTGGATTATTCATTTGAATGCTTTAAAATGATGTAAGATATTAATGATAATTTGTTTTCCAAGTATCAAGAAATGTTTTCTTGCATGAGGGAACTGAACTATATTTAATATCTTCATATGTATTCCTACAAGTTAGGGCACATTTTCTGTTGAAATTGGATAAACATTTTTCACTTATTTAACATGTATTTATTAAGTTGCTGCTTTGTGCCAGGTGTTGTTCTTTCAAAAGGAAATGGCAGAAAATAAAGTCTGCCTCAGTTTACATTCTAAAGGGGAGGAAATGGCCATTCTTAATAAAAGTTACCACATGCTATATATTTGATGAGCGTTTCTCAAGGGTTCTTGTTAGAAATGTAGTTTTCAGGTGCCACCTCAGCTGTATCATTCAGAAAATCCAAGCAGTGGGACACAGCCTTGTGTGCTCTCACAGATAACCTTGTCTAATGATCTACAGCTTGAGTGGGTTAGTCCTGTCTAGATCAAAAGGAGGGAGCGACAAAGGTGAAATCAACAGAGCTCTACTCCCTGAAGATGCAGACCCTGGTCCAGAAGACATCAGAAACACCTAGCACTAGTGAGAAAGTTCACTTACTACATCCGGGGAATTTCCATGCTGTAGTTGTAAATGTGGAGAAACTAAAGTGTGGATTAAGAGACTGGGTATGTGCAGTGTGTGCGTATTTGAATTGGTCATTCAGGTAGGCCTCACAGAGGAAAGCAGAAGCAGTAGCACACAGCTACAGTACGGTGTGTTTGATGAGATGGAAGAAATAACGTCACAGAGTGTATGGGGGAGGAAGACTGGCTAGCCAGAAGCAGCCTTAGGACAATACAGGGTTACTGTAACTTGGCTTCGAATATGGAGAGCGGCAAGCAGGTGGGGAACAGAAACATTGTCTGCTGTGATGATAGCAATGTTTTCTCATTAATTTTTTAATTTACCTTGAATCTTGATAGCAGCCCCCCTTTCTCCTCTCCTCCCAGTCCCACCCTCATAAGCCCCTCCCCTCACTACCTCCTTCCCTTCTCCTTAGAGAAGGAGAAGCCCCCCCCACCATGGGACCAACCTGCCCTGACATATCACCTCAAAGCAGAACTAAGTCCATCCTCTCCCACTGAGGCCAGACAAGGCAGCCCAGCAAGGGGAAGGGAATCTGAAGGCAGGCAACAGTCAGAGACAGCCTCATTGCAATTGTCAGGGGAACCACATGAAGACCAAGTTGCACATTTGCTACAAATACAGGGCCTAGGCCCAGCCCATACATGCTATTTGGTGATGGTTTAGTCTTTTTAGTCCCCATGGGGCCAGGTTAGTTGACAGTAGGTCTGCCTTTACCCTTCTGGTTCTCTAAGTCCTTCCCCCCAACTCTTCCACAACGCTCTCTGCCTAATGTTTGGCAGTGGGTCTCTGCATCTGTTTCCATCAGCTGCTGGACAAAGCCTCTCAGGAGACAGTTATGCTAAGCTCCTGTCTGCAAGCATAGCAGAGTATCATTAATAGTGTCATGGTTTGACTCTTTCCCATGGGATGGGTCTAATGTCCAGACAGTCATTGGTTAGCCATTTATCTGCTCCCTCTTTAATCCTTCAACATCTTGTAGGAAGGATACATTTTGAGTTGAAGGTTTTGTGGATGAATTGGTGTCACCCTCCCTCCACTGGAGGTCCTGCTTGGCTACAGGAGATGGCCCCTTGAGTCTTCATATCTCCAGCTTCTAGGAATCTCAGCTACAGTCACCTCTGTTGACTCCCAGGGGTGCCCCCCATCCCAGATCTCCAGCTTATCCCAGAAATGCACCCTACTGATTTCCATTCTCTCTCCCTATCCTATCTCCACCCCACTCCCATTCTCCCAACCTTGTTCCTCTCCCCACCTCCTCTTCCACTCAGTCCCCTCCCTCCATCCATCTCTATTCTGTTCATCTCTATTTCCTCCTCTGAGTGAGATTCAAGCATCCTTTCTTGAGTCCACCTTGTTATTTAAGCTCTTTGGGTCTGTGGACTGTAGCATGGTTATCCTTTATGGCTAATATCCACTTACAAGTGAGTTCATACCATGTGTGTCTTTCTGGGTCTGGGCCATCTCACTCAGGATATTTTATAGTTCCATCCATAAGCCTGCAAGTTTCATTTTGACTTTGTTTTTAATAGCTATGGAGTATTCCATTATGTAGATGTACCTAAAATTATCTTTATCCATTCTTCAATTGAGGGCCATCTAGGTTGTTTCCAGTTTCTGGCTATTAAAATGAATAAAGCTGCTATGAACATAGCAAGTACCCTTGTGGTATGTTGGAACATCTTTTGGGTATATGCCCTGGAGGGGTATAGCTGGGTGTTGAGGTAGAACTAGTCTCAATTTTCTGAGAAACCACCAAATTGAGGCCTACTGGCCTCAAGACTGTACCTAGAAAGCATCCCTCCACTTACACTTCTGGAAATTGAATATCTTTGGGTGCCAACCTACTGTCTGTATGATAGGAACTTCTGGAAATGTAAAGCTTCTCTGCGTTCACTAAAGGAAGAAGCAGATTGTAGGAAAGATTTTCAGTTCTGAAAGAAAAGAAGGCTGAAGAGTTTCGGCTACCCTCATGGCATCCCCTCTTCACCCACCCCACCCCTACCCATTTGTTAGCAACTCATTTTGTACAGCACAGCAGTTACATCAAAAGCTTCTAGTTTGGGCCCTAAACAAACCTTCATTTATAGAAAACTTGCATTTTTTCAAAGAGGTCATAAAATTCTAAGGTGGTGGTTGTTGTTGTTTTAAAAAAGTATGCTGGCACTGCTCCTGAGTGGCTTTCCATGCATGAGCTCACTTCCTCTCGCCATCTACCTGTACTAAGAGATGGGTTCTATCATTAGCTTACAACGCTATACAGTCAAGCCACTTACAGACTATTTCAGACAAGAAGGATTCCTATAGGCAACCCACCAGAACAATGAATGAATTCTACAGTAAGGGTGTGAACCACTAGAATGATGAGTGAATTCCACAGTATAGAGATCTGTGAACAGTTCCGTTGAAGGCAGTGGAGGTGGGGGGATATTTACAGAAGCTAGATTTTTTTTTCTATCTGAGCCATATATTCTAGTGGACAAGGTGCTGTACTTGAGAACAAAAGATCATTTTAAAATGAACTGGAAAGTCCTATTATATTGGGACACACACTGAACTATGACCTGAAAGCAAAGACTCCAGGAGATATAAAGTAAGTTTAAATAACTGGTCCAGTAGGCTAGTGTGTCGTCTTGTAGGTACACCACGTCACAAGAGAATCCTGGGCATCAATTTGCCAGTTTTTTCTGACATTAAAGAACAGCACTGCTTTTCCTCATTAGCTTTCAACTAACTGGGGATCAGACTGAGAAGTGGACTTCAATATAAAACAAACAAAAACTTCTGCTAATAACCACTTCTATTAAGTTTCCATTCGAAAGAGCAAGGCTCTGTTCAGATCCAGGGTTTGGAAGGGGAAAAAAGTGAATATATAGTACTATCCCATGTCTATAATTATATGGAGAAGTGGTTTCTTAACTGCGTGATCTTAGTGGAAGATATGAAATGTTTTAGTCACTTGTTGAAAAATAAAGTACTCAAGATCTGCTATCAGAGTTTAACATGGTGACACTGCTTTGGGTGTTGGTAACAGGACATAGTGTTGCTACATTGAGCGTTAGGTACAAGACATGCATGTCAATGATGAGCTTGGGAATGGGTATGGTAATGCCACATTGGAAGTTGGGTATGGTGCATGGTAGTGCCACATTCAAATTGGGTATGGGGCAGGATAATGGTGCATTGTAAGGTATGTATAGGGACAATAATTCTGCACTGGAGGTGGGGTATGGAGCACCTGAGGAAGTCAAGAAAAATTTCACCACACAGGTTCACAACACAGAATCTGAATGACTCCCAGAGCAACAATGAGTAAACAGAGGTTATGAATAGAGGAGAAAAAAATGAAAATTCAGGAAAATCGATTATTTGGTGGTGTTATGCAGACCAGGAGTTATAAATGTTGAACTTGTATCCCTTCTAGATACATTCTTGGAAGCCCTAACTCCCAGTATGACTGTTTAAATGTAAGGCTTTTAAGAGACTAATTAAGATGCCACAAGATGAATAAGACCTCAATCCTATGGGGTTGATATCCCCACAATGGACAAAAGAGCCCTCTCTGCATAAGAACAGAGGAGCCATATGAGGAAACAGCATGGTTCTTAGCCATAGGGTTTGCCTGTTTGATTAGTAACCAATGGAATTTTCTTCTTCCATGATCTTGCCGTTTGTGTAGGTATAAGGAACATTCACCATCCCTTGAGAAAGAAAAGGACATTTGTCCATAACACTGGGCACACATTATTTTCTAAAATCACCAAGAATCCTTTAACCATAACTTGGAAAAATTACTACTGCTTCTTAACTGTACATAAGTTGAACACTAGTTTATGTTTGTCCCTCCATCATATGGTGAGCTGATTGTTTTAAAAGCTATTTTAAAATGATCATGTGTGATCACTCATGTGTGATCATTAGTAACTCACATGTAATCTGGTATATATTTGAGCTCCTCAATTTGAATGAGTGAAAGAATTAAATAGAAATCACCAAATAAAAAATGAATGTTCCAAAACCTATCTTCTCTAGTATCAAAGTATAAGATAAAATTATAATGATAATTGCATCTAAAATTTCTATATCTGGGCTGAATATGTAGTTTAGTTGCAAACCACTTGCTTATTATGTGCAAAGGTGTAGTTTTCATCCCCAGTTCTGGGGTTGGTAGACATTTTGAAAGTACTTTGAAAAATCCACAAGCATATTCATTCATACATACATACATACATACATACATACACACACGCACATACGTATTCATGTATATACATATACATTCAAGCCATCGGAGTCACCAAACTGTAGTAGAAAACAAAAAAACCTATTCAGGTCATAGAACATAGTTATTCAGATCAGAGTATAGTTATGACATCTGAAGAAAATAATAACATTTTTGTAGATAAATGGGCAAATAATCTAAAAATATAGAAACTATTATGGAGCTTTGAAGATAGAAGTCAAATGTCATTTGATTCCCCCCCCCCCGAGTATATAATAGACTGCCCACAAGTTCAAAGCCAAGCAACTGTAGACAAAGTATAGAGATTATAAAGCTGGGGGGAACTACAATGTCCTAGTTTCGGGAAATATGTTCTCTCTCCCTTGTTGCCTTAATCTGCTTTCCCTAACTAAAGAAAATTTGCTACTCTCTTGTTAATTTTCTTACATAAAAAACGATCCTGCAGAATTAAATTG